GCAAATATGGACTCATATTGTGAAATAACTACCAGCTATGCAGCTATCACTGAGCAATTAGGGATTCATATTGTGAACTCCACTCTTATTCATACTAATTGCCTCGTACGTATAGGTAATAGAATTTTTCTAAATTATTAAAGGAATCAGAAAAAAAAACACTTATTTTTCTTTCAAACAGCCAAACTGGGTTCCTCGACGAAAGGAGATGCCAATCTAGTCTTGCAATGCTCAAAACAAGGATTTTGATAAAGGATTTTCGAAGCATTTTGCCTTCCCTTTTGCAATCCAATTAATTACATTGTAAAATGAAACCTATTGTCAAGAACTTACCCAAATAGCTAAATTAGTACCGTATTCTTCCTTGGGTTCTGACAATGGTAGATGTGGATCGAATTTCTGGGGCAAAAATTGCTAGGTTCGCCTAGGTTTGACCTTGATTTTTGGGGATCTCGTTTCAATTGCAAAGAGTAGCAACGGTAAAGTACTTTGAATATTGGAATTTGGAAAGGCGTGTTTTATTTTGTTTCCAAAGTAAAGGCATGTTTAGCATTGCTTATTTGGTGTCGACATGGCACTTGAGTTACTATTTAACTTGCCACGACACATTACCATTAGCTACACAGGCAAGTTTACTAACGATTTTCATCTTGTGGCCAACGGAGTTAGATGGAGTAAAGTTGAATGGCAAATGGGATATGAGTGAAAGGATAGTGAATAAGCCGTGACATGTATAAAAGTTCAAAGGCTAATCGAACATTTAACTCTATCTTTTTGTACCTATTTAAAAAAAAATTTCATATATTGTTATTTCACATTTTACTATTTAAATTTAAGTTCATTTATCAACGGTCATTAAATTTGTGAAATGACAATGAAATATGGTCAAGATTAAATAATTAGCACCGTCACAACCTCACTTGCACCGCCGACATAGCCACCATCTCATGAGCACTGCCAACATCAACACAACCCCAACCACCACCATCAACTGCAAACACAACCAACAAAATACAACCCAAAAACTCTGGCACTAGATCGCGACCCAAATGTCCTTAGATCCCATCATTCATCGTGTGCAGTGCACAATGGCCGTTTTTATAGTGTCACTACGACGACGTACCTGTGCACAATGCGACGCAGATTTTCCCAGATACTCGTCTTTGCCACTGCAATAAATGTCAACATTTCCCCAGATCGTGTCATCATCGATACCATGAGTAGTTGCATGGCCTTCAACAACCTATCATTCCCCCCCCCCCACAAACTTCCCCATATGTCGACATTATTGACGATGTGAGTTGCTACATGGTCTTCGGGAACGAATTCCAATAGTTACCATGGAGAGAGAAGAATGAAGCTAGAGAATAGAGAGAGTAGGAAAATGACCAGGGCTTTGGATGGGTGGTTGGATTAGATTAGATGGGATGGGATGGACATGTATGATAATTTAATTTTGTATATATAATTATCAATATTAAAAATTTAAATTAATATCTAATTTTGAATAAAAAACTTATAAATCTTATTTTTGAATTATGAAATTAAAACGTATGAGTGGATGTAATTTCCACTTATTAAAATATTTGAACCTTAGTTGTCTGGCCCTTCAAACCTAAAAAATGAGATGAAACATAATTATAGATATCGAATATTATATTAATTATCTCCTCTCTTTAAAACAAAAATATAATATCAATCTTTTATTTAATTTGTTTTGTTCGAGTTAAGTTGGGTTGGTCAGGTTTTGACAAAACAACCAGCAAGTTGAACCAACCAAGAGCATTCCTTTAAACAAACCGGCCCATACTTAAATTATCGATTTGGTTTGACTTAATCTATTTGTGCGGTTTTGTAGTCCATATATCCCCTCGTAATTGAAATGAGTAATGCTATTAATACCACAGGTGTTAAAACACTAATTTAGGTTATATTAAATGAGATGTATAATTAAATGAATTACTTCTACATTTCATTAAGCATATTATTTAATGTCACATAGACTAGTGTTATAGTACTATTTAACTAAAATGGAAAAAAACATATATTTGTAGTGTAACGTGGAGAAAAGCGTAAGATTGCCCAATAACTGGAAAAAAAAAATCCAATTTTCATTTTTGGCCCAAAAAAATCAAGGGGAAATTTCATATCTAAGAAATTAAGTATTGTCCATTTCAAAATTAAGAAACAATGTTTAAAATTTCAAAAAATAGGATATTAGTTAAAATTCATTTTTGAGATAATTAATTAAAAATATATTTTATCAATTAAATATATTAAGGCACAATTTTGTACAATATGATCATAAATTATCGAATTAATTGGTCACAAATTATTAATCATTCAAAATAAAAAAAATTATAGATCACAAATTACTTCCCGATCACAAATCAAAAATATTATACATCACAATTTATTCATTCGTCACTAAATAAAAAAATTGTTAGATCATAATTTAGTTATCGATTACAAATCACAAATTTTATAAGTTACAAATTATTTAACAGTCACAAATTATCAAATTAATTGATCAATAGTTAATAAATTGTGAGTCACAATCACAATTATTTGATCGCACAAATCAATTAAATAATTGATCACAAAATCCCCATCCCACCCATGACCACGACCACGATCGCAACAACCACTACCAACACATACCATAGCAACACACAACACCAATTGCAACCACCACACAATACAGCAATGCAAAAACCACACCACCACAAAACACAGCAACCACAAACCAACCAACAACATTGCACCGTAAACATCAACCATACTGCATCACAACCACAAAACCACCACCACCAACCACACCACTACAAATCACAACAACCACCAATTGATTAACCACATTGCAACCACCAACCACACTACATTGCAACCACAAAACCACCACTACAACACTGTACCATTTAAACCCATCGTCATTTGAACTCATCGGTTCTAATTAGAGCCAAAGCTACTACGTCGTGTTGCTGGGACGACGATATCACTCTCAAAGCTTCAAACACGGGGATGACATTGTCAAAGTCATATCATGCTATGGCCGATGCCTCTTAAATTGTGCTATGGTTTAAGCCTTCATGTTAATGCTGCTCTCAGATTGACGGTATACCCATTGTGGTAGGCATGGTGGCGACATAGCAGCTGAGGGTAGTAGGGTATGACAATGCAATGCCTGTTGAGTTTTTTGAGGGGAAAGGTAGAGAGAGATGGGTAAGGAAAAGAGAATGGAGGGATGGCGTGCTATTGAGAGAGAATAGGTTGGGAAATAATTTGGATTTGGGTATGGTAAATAGTAGTGAGGTGGATATGTAAAATAATTTAATTTTTGTAATATTATTATTAATATTTATAGTATATTATTATCTAATTTTCGTATAAAAAACTTTAAATTTGATTTTTTAAGTTGAATTTAAAATTTTTTGATTGGGTGTAATTTCCACCTAGAACAATCTTCTCTATCCATTTCTCTGTCCAACTCTCCAACCCTTTCTTATCAATGAATATTGCTAACCAACTACGGATGAAAATAGGGATAAAAACAGGGATTTGAATTTTTGCTGACGTGGCACTTATTTTACATTTAAAAAAAACCAAAAAAAAAAAAACAAAACTTGAAACTAAACAAAAGGGGGATGACCAGAGTATGAGGAAGCAAAAGCGGGAAACCTACGAACCCTCCCGCCACCGCACCCATCGCCGAGCAGAGCACACATCATCGATCGGAGCATCATCACCGGTAAATCCTTCCATCTCCGATCATCTCAGCTCCCACAGTACGAGAAAGCAAAAGCGGGAAACATAAGTTGTGAACCCTCCCTCCCTCCCACTACCGCACCCATCGCCGACCGGAGCACCTATCTTTGACCGGAGCATCTTCACCGGTAAGGAGTTAAGTCCTTTTAGTAGTTTAAACTCAAACGCACAGTATGAGCGTGAACATATTTGCGAACTCTTTTTCTTGTTTCAGTCTCATGATCGGTCATGGTTTTAGGAGAAATTCGGGACTTGATTCTTGTTTATTAATCAAGAAACGTGAATAAAGCTTTTGTGATTTTGGTTTGTATTCTATTGTTTATCTCTCTATATATTTCAAAGTCGGTGTGCCATAGAATTAGCAGCTAGGCCACCTTCTATATGCAAATATATAATACTTTTATTCATAAATATGCATTGGCTGTATGCTACTTGTGACCACCGTTCTTCGGTATAGCTGTGTTTTTTTTTGTAGTTTTCAAACAAATTCCTATTATCAGGCCAGTTCATCATTCTTTAAAAGAGATGGGAATAGAATTCAGCATTAAAAAGTTGAGGGAAATTTTTTCTTGAAATGTTAAAATAATAAAATATGGATAATTTTAAGTTATCTGGGGTGTTGAAGTTTCAATTCAAAAAATTACAAGGATCTGTGTAAAAAGGTGAAAAAGTGCTTTGCCCTTATAGAACAATAATCTGGAATAGAATGATTACAACATAATAAAAAGCAATCCCGCTACTCAACCAGGGATGAATTTGTGCGTATATGTTTGCATACATCATGTTCAATCCATTGTTTCTTCAGTTACTCCATTAAATGATTTACCTGAATTGAATAAAATAGTTTCTTTATTCTATTAAATTATATATCAGTTGAATGGAATATTTTCTTGAATGATATCTACGTGTGTTGGGGTTCTGGGTAAAATTTTCGTGTTTTTCCAAAAGAAAAATGTAATCAATCATTTCATTTATGTATTCTTTACATTTATTATAGTCAATGATTTTATATTCTAATTGTAATTCAATTGAATCTGATATTCATTGAATTGAAGGGAAATTTTGATTAGGTTTTATTGGGCAGGAAATAGGATTCTATATAATAAAAAATGCAGAGAAATCTTTCAAATTTTTATGGGGATAGAGAGCCGACTTGGGATTTGTCCTTCAAATTTTTATGGTTCTTGTCAAATACTGTTGTAATGACCCTTTTTATTTTTGCAGCAAAATAAAGTATGGAAGACGTAGAAGATGAGCCTATTGATGTTTTGATGGAATCCGATACTGAGAATATTACGGAGTTTGTGAATGTAGTCGAAGACGAAACATCAGGGGGGATGGGTTACAAGTGCCTGAGGTGGGTATGCTATTTAAGCATGAAGAAGATATGTATAACTTCTACAAAAAAATATGCTTATGCCGTTGGTTTTCCCGTGAAAAAAAGGAATTCAAAGAAGGGGGAGGATGGAGTATTGAGATACCTAACGTTAACATGTAGTCGTGAAGGACGATTAAATGGTAATACTAGTAGTTCACTGAAGCCGCAACCAACAGTTAAGATGGGTTGTAAAGCAAGGATAGCTGCATCTTTAGATATCCTGGGAAATTGGAGAATTAATGCGGTCCACCTAGAGTACAATCATGAGACAAGTCCATCTAAGTTCAGGTTATATCGATGCAACCGAACTTTGACTGCACATGTGAAAAAGAAGCTTGAAGTGAATGATTTAGCACGGATTCCATTGCATAAGAGTTACAATTTCGCAGTTGTAGAAGCCGGTGGATATGAGAACATGACTTGCATTGAAAAAGATTGTTGGAACTATGTCGAACGAGTTAGGCAATTACGACTTGGAGAGGGCGACGCTGTAGCAATACAATCATACTTTTCAAGAATGCAAGCTCAATGTTCGGGATTTTATTTCAGTATGGATTTGGACGATGATTCATGACTAAGAAATGTACTCTGGGCAGATAATCGATGTAGGCTAGTGTACAAGGAGTTTGATGATGTGGTTACTTTTGATACCACATATCTTACTAATAAGTATGACTTGCCATTCGCCCCCTTTGTTGGCGTCAATCATCACGGACAGTCAACATTACTTGGTTGTGGGTTACTGTCGAATGAGGACACTGAGACCTTCGTATGGTTGTTCAGAACATGGCTTCAGTGTATGTATGGTGAAGCTCCACAGGCCATAATTACCGATCAGGATAGAGCCATGCAAAATGCAATTGAGATTGTCTTCCCGAAGACGAAGCATAGATGGTGTTTGTGGCATATTTTGAAGAAGCTCCTGGAAAAGTTTGGATACCACGTGGATAAGGGTTTGATATTTGGGGCTATACATGAATTAGTGTATGATTCACAGTTGGAACAAGAATTTGAAGAAGGTTGGATGGCAATGATTAACACCTATAGTTTGCAGCAAAATAATTGGTTGTCAGGATTATATGAGAATAGAGGGCGTTGGGTGCCTTGTTTTTTGAAAATAACTTTTTGGGTAGGAATGTCAACAACACAGAGAAGCGAGAGTATGAATGCGTTCCTCGATGGATATGTGCATTCGAAGACATTGTTGAAGCAATTCGTCGAACAGTACGAAAGTGCTCTTAGGAATAAGGTCGAGAAGGAACTCCAAGCTGATTTCAAGTCGTTCTCTCAAATGATACCGTGTGCAACACAGTTCGAAATGGAAGAACAGTTTCGATCAGTTTACACGATATCGAAATTTCGGGAAGTTAAAGAAGATTTCACGGGTAAGATCTACTATAACGTCATATCTACATCAGAAGGATCTTCTAAGACGACTTATAATGTACGGGAGACTATTATGTATGGTGGTCGTTGCAAGAGAAAAAATTGCGTCGTGTCATTTGTGAGAAATAATTGCGAAGTTGTTTGTAGCTGCCACTTGTTTGAGTTTAGAGGAATACTTTGTAGGCATACAATAGTGGTTCTGGACTTGAACAACGTCACATGTATTCCAGATCGGTATATTTTGCGGAGATGGAGGAGGGACGTTCGTAGAGCACACACGAGAGTTCCAGTAAACTATGCAGGGTTAGAGACTACTCCTGCATAATTAAGATACGAAGAGATGTCTAAGGGATTTGCACAAGTGGCAGACCTTGTTGCAGACGACGAAATGCGGTCACGTGCAATAATGGAGTGGATAAAATCGCAATGTGAAGATATGATGACCACAAGATCTGGTAGTGGTAGGAATCCCATACTGTCGCGTACCACGCAAGTGTCCAATGATTGTGCGGACGTGTCAAAGTTAGCAAGCGGAAGCATACGTGATCCACAAGTAGCTCGACGAAAGGGTGCGCCCATGAAGCTTAGAAAAAGAAGCCCATTGGAGATAGCATCAAAGAAAGCAAAGGTATACTCGAAAACTGCGCTTTATATTTGCAATTGTTTAAATTTACATCTAAGCGATTATCTGTGAATGCAGTCTAGCGGGACATCATCCACTACTATGCGACCAAGAAATAACAATACGAATATGGTGGATGACGCAATGTACTTTCAGTTCCCTCAACAATATTCCATGCCGACCCCGACGTCGTACTTGCCCAATGACATGTTAACACCATTATCTTTGTCACAACTGTCCATGCCCACACCGTTCTCCCTTTCTCAACGTGTACCCTTTGGAAATGTGGTCTCTCCATCCGTGGCTAGTATCATGCAAAATTCACAAGGTATAAACCAATGTTGTAGATGATTTTAAAATTCATTTTGTTGTGAACACATGATTAACTATTTGTTATGGTATTCTATTGTAGGTCAACCATCGGCGAACTACTATCAAAATTTATTGGATCACAGTGGCGGCCTATAGCAAGGGGGCTATGTTTGTGCGATTGGAATTTTTTTGAAATCAAGAGTTTCAATTCACAGCACTCGAATGAAGATGTATTTTGGCATTTCCTAGTATTAAGGCAATTACTACTTTCCCTATTTTGGCAACTTCACAGTTTTTAAGTTGGCTGAATTTTTTTGAAATGTTGGACAATTACTACTCGTAGTGTATTAGTATCAGGTAATTGTTGTGATAATTCAATGGACAACCTGGAATTAATTGTGTCAAACATTGAACCGCCTGATTGGCCGATCAAATTTTGCGAGGTTTGGGATACTGGCTTGAGAATTTTGTTTTGGCCAATTTGATTGATGTTTGAACAGGTCTGTTGCCATGAGAGAGGCCTTCTTCTCTTGCTATTTAGGTATGGGAGCCTTGAAATCAGGCTCTTTTGTAAAGCAGAAATTCAGCCTATGATCATTCATTATTTTTCTTTTCTCGATTGTTTAATTTTATACTCTGTATCGATCCTTCTGTTTTTGTACAAAAGATGGGAAGGACCACAGATCTAGACATAGATATGTTATACTCTGTACTTTCTGATGATATATGTAACACGATTGGTTCCCTCTTTACTCGCGCTAATGAATAATTTAGCGATTTATACCGTTGTTATCGACATTTACTGACTATGAAAATTCTTGATTTTCTAGCTATTTTGGTGAAAGAATGAAAAGTTGAATTGGTATTGAAGACTTACAAAGCAGGGGAATAAACTGGATTGATGAACATTCATTCAAATATAATAGATCTTCCCATACAGAAAATACTTTTGAACAATGATTTGCAATTTCATAAGAAAAAGAACTTGAACCAAGTGACATGCCAATAGCCATGGGTTCGCATCACCAAATTATAGGGAACCTGGGCTTCGTACATTATAGGCAGCCAATGTTTGTCTTCATTTAAGCTTGTGAACTTGGAATACATAAACAATTCGAATGGAAAGGTATTAAATAAATTAAGTACCATACATAAACTGTAAGTAAGTCGCGAGAGTACAAATGTTTGCCTACAAAATATGCTTGTTTTGATACCAAGCTATCATGATATACAACCTCGCACCACAAAGCTCAACTACTTTACTTCATTCATCACATACAAGACTTTCAACCTCCACAAATAATAAGGACAAGCTGATTCGGTTTTAATTGAGAAAATTAGGCTAGCCACTTCGATAAGTATCTTCAAGTCAAGTCGGCCGCTTCCCTTTAGCGTCCACATTTGCAACTATTTTCTCCTTCTTGATGCTCACATTAACCAAAATCTGAAGCTCCTCTTCGTCACTTATCCTTACCCAAGATTTGAACATGCGGGACATTTCTTCATCAGTGTCATTCATCACGGGGTTAGGGAATGTTGCGCTATCACGACTACATTGACCGCTTGAGTCTTCTTTCACGACCCACTCCCAAAATCCACAATTCCGGCTGCAACAAAGGAATAGTTTCCCTTTATTGTGATTTTCCTTCTCCACCACAAAACATTTTTTCAAATTCATACTTACATCGCGGGTAAGGGCGTTTCTTTTTGCATTCGACAAACAAATGATCCTTAGCTCTACAACTATGACAGATTTCGGAGTTCCTTCCGGGCATTTTACGATGGGAATAAAAAACGTATAACCAGTGTGAAGTCAGTCATCTCAATCATCAATTTTCAATAAAAATTAATTATGTGCATATGTTCAAATTCTTCTAAATTAATTAATTTATCACTCCCAAATTCAAATGAATTCTACTCAATTGAGTTAATTCACTATATCTCTACTGTATCAAGATAAGTCTTAATAAAGAATACTCAATCACCAAAAATCCAATTAATAATCACAAAATTAGTACAAGCATATATTTACCTTCTACCTAAATTTCCATCTTTATACTGTAAAGACTAAATAAATAACTTACCCCTTGGCTCGTTATCGTTCACAAATCAATGAATTAGTGATAAAAAATTCAAAGCATGATAGAAGAAGTAAAAACAATCTACAAACATCAATTGAACATCGAAACATGGTAATTTAAAATTAAGGTTCAAACTCAATAGAATCATTCGTCCCAACAAATTGTTTAGTTAAGCAGTATTGAACAAGAAAAATACAAGAGAAGATTGGTATATATCATTGGGTTTGAAGGAGAAATGGTGAAAAGTTGATGATCTTACACAAAAAAGATAATAATAATAACATTAAAACAGCGTAACGGGTTGGTCTGGAACAAACTGGATTGGTCACGATTCAATGCAGTTTGCAAACCATAGTGAATCGCGACAAACAAAGGCTTAGCCTAAATCGCGACAAACAAAGGCTTGACTTAGTAATTGGAGGAGACTTCTTAAAGATAGAACATGCACATTGATTTACCAAAATCTTTATTATTTTGCAAAGGCAATTTATAATAATAATAATAATAATAATAATAATAATAATAATAATAATAATAATAATAATAATATATCTACCAAGCCTTCTTTCCTTCTAAATACTATCAGAGCCAAGAAAAGATAAATAATGTCAAACAATAATCTTGTTTCTATCATGACTCGTTTTAATGGAGAAGTTTTTTACTACTAAATTAATATAATGAATTGTGTCTTGAATCTCATTATTTATGAAATATTTTTGAAGGAATACAAACAACCAGAAAATGAAAATCAATTATTTATGAAATATTTTTGAAGGAATACAAACAACCAGAAAATGAAAATCAATTATCTAAAGCACATACAAATCTCCTAAAGAATAAGACACAAAAAGACACGATTCACCCTTCCAAATATATCAACCAACTAAGATTCCAGTATACTAGAGTTCCATTTCAAATTCTATGTCATCAAATATAGAAATTTTGAAAACCTAAAAGGTTATTGAAAAATTTCTACAAAGCCTAATAAATAAATATGATCATCTGGAGGTGGCTAATAAAGAATCACAAGATCTTACCTGTCTTTGGAGAACTTGAAAGGAAAAGAAATTAAAATCTCTTGGGTGTCTCAAAATTCTCATAATACCTTAATAATTTCTTTACAAAATCATTAATAGGAGAAAAATGAGTTCCTTTTTTCAAGTTTTCCCCTCTTCTTCGTCAGGTGACTACCGACTCTCCAACCGATGATGGGTGCTCCGGTTGGCGATGGTTGCTCCGGCCGGTCGACGATGGCGCGCTGGCAAGAGTACTCTTCAGGGTTTGGGAGAAAATGAAATGAGAAATCGGTCCTGCAGTACTCTTCTTTTATTTTATTTTATTTTATTTATTTATTTATTTATTTTTATGAATCATGAATAATTGTGGGCCACCACACCAATTTTTAATGGGAAAATTTCATAAATAAGAGATTAATTATGGCACATTTCAAAAACAAGAAAACAAGTTTCAAATTTCTAAAATCAGATTTTATTAAAAATTATTTATAATTTAATTAATTAATTAATTAATTTAGTAATAAAATATATTTAAGTCACAGATTTATATAATTTGGTTACAAATTAAAGATTTAATTCGTCACCTATTATTTTTTAGTCACAAATTAGAAATTTTATGTCATAATTTATTTTACGGTCACAATTAAAAAATTTTATAGGTCACAATTTGTTCATCGGTCACAAATTGAAAAATTTATAAGTCACGATTTATTTATTGGTCACAAATCACAAATATTACAAGTCACGACTAATTATATAGTCACAAATTATCAAATTATCAGTCACAGATTAACAATTTTTTATGTCATACATTATTTTTCGATCACAATTTATCTTTTTTATTGGTCACACATTATTTTTCGATCACAATTTATCTTTTTCATTGGTCACATATTATTTATTAGTCACAACTCAACCAATTTAATAGTCACAGTCAACCAAATAATTTGTGACTACCACCAACACTTACGATTTATAGTCACAATTTTCAAATTACGTATCCAATTGTGAGTCACAATCACAATTTTCAGATCACGTATCCAATTATGAGTCACAAATTAACAAAATAATGTGTGACATAGTCACAAAACAACTATGATCAACTGTGACTCCCAAATTGTGAGTTACAATCACAATTTTTAGGTCACGGGTCTAATTATTTGTTACAACATCAAACCAAACCGCCATGACCACCACAACCACCGCCACAACCATCACACCACCGCCACACACACACCCACACACTGCCACACCACACCACACACACACCCTCCTATAGCAACACTGCCACACCACACACCCCACTACCACACCATCGCCAGAGTGGAGCCACCACAATAAAGCCATAGCCGTCGCCGGAGCCACCACAACGCACCATCTCACCCACATCACACATCACAGCCCACACGAACAAAACCACCATCACCCCCATCGCCACTAACAAAATCCAACAAACTCGCCATCGAGAATCCACCACCAACAAAACAACCGCCATCCCCAAATCCAACAAATCGCCGCCATAGCCACCCAAGCACCACCAACAAATCAGATTCTCAAAATCGCCATCACCAGAACCAAAGGCTGTTGGATGTGTGTAATCATATCAGCGCCGTCATGCATAGCTCTTGCCCTCCGGTGGTTTGTGTGTGGATTGCCTTCGTCGGTGGTGGTTGGTTGCGGCTCACCATCGCGACAAACATCGCATCCAAAACCATAGATCCAAAACCATGGCGGATACATGACCACAAAAATCATTGCTACTGCCATCCACCACCAGTGCCACCACCAGCAATTATTTTTCGATCACAATTTATCTTTTTCATTGGTCACATATTATTTATTAGTCACAGATTAACCAATTTAATGATCACAGTCAATCAAATAATTTGTGATCACCACCAACACTTACAATTCACAGTCATAGTTTTCAGGTCACGTATTCAATTATGAGTCACAAATCAACCAAACCACTGCAACCATCGCCATGACCACCCAAACCACCACGATCAACTGTGACTTCCAAATTGTGAGTTACAATCACAATTTTTAGGTCACGGGTCTAATTATTTGTTACAACATCAAACCAAACCGCCATGACCACCACAACCACCGCCACAACCATCACACCACCGCCACACACACACCCACACACTGCCACACCACACCACACACACACCCTCCTATAGCAACACTGCCACACCACACACCCCACTACCACACCATCGCCAGAGTGGAGCCACCACAATAAAGCCATAGCCGTCGCCGGAGCCACCACAACGCACCATCTCACCCACATCACACATCACAGCCCACACGAACAAAACCACCATCACCCCCATCGCCACTAACAAAATCCAACAAACTCGCCATCGAGAATCCACCACCAACAAAACAACCGCCATCCCCAAATCCAACAAATCGCCGCCATAGCCACCCAAGCACCACCAACAAATCAGATTCTCAAAATCGCCATCACCAGAACCAAAGGCTGTTGGATGTGTGTAATCATATCAGCGCCGTCATGCATAGCTCTTGCCCTCCGGTGGTTTGTGTGTGGATTGCCTTCGTCGGTGGTGGTTGGTTGCGGCTCACCATCGCGACAAACATCGCATCCAAAACCATAGATCCAAAACCATGGCGGATACATGACCACAAAAATCATTGCTACTGCCATCCACCACCAGTGCCACCACCAGCACGATTTCTACAACCAACACCACCATACCGGATCGCGAGTTATGCACCATGTGATGTCGGAACTGGCTTCGATTCTGGGAAATTCTTTCCCGAATTCGTCCTCGCCTTCGCCGTATGTCGCCAACCACAAGAGACGTGGCATTGGTGAGAATAGTAGTCGAAGGAGGGTTGGTGGACAAAATGGAGATGTGAGTGAGAGGGGGGGGGGGTAGAGACGGTTGAGAGTGATTAGGGTTTTTTCTGTAATTATTTTATTTAAATAGTTAATACAAAAATCTGATTTTTGAAATATCAAAGTTCCAATCTTATTTAGGAATTTTGAATAGCTAATGTATGAGTAGCTATTCATCCCTGGCTGAGTAGCTGGATTGCTTATCAATAGCCCAGCCCAAACCAAACCGTACCAATCTTACCATCAACTGATCGATTCCCGAAGTTGCACCTGGCCGGCGACAGTTCCATCACCACCCCGAGGTCCTTTGTACTTATTCACTTTACCAATACCCTGAAACGTACAAACATATTGAAGAATTTGCCTTCCGGAGATTCGACTTCCGATAATCCTGCCAATTCCCGACTGTTTACACCGATATTCTCCCCCAATAGAGGTACAGGAGCACCTTTTAAATTGTTCTCATGAGTAACAGCGGACGATTTTCAATCGTCCATACGTTTTTCGTATGTGGGTTTCGATTGAGTTTATCATAGTTAAGTTTTTTGATAAAATGACGCAAAGAATATACTGTTAATGTACTCTGCATTTATCTGTTTTTCTTTGCTTATATCTCATAAGAGCAGTGTGTGCTGTAATTGTTAAATACTGGGCCGTGTTAAAAAAGGGGAAAGCCTTTTACTTCTTTTGCATTAAGCCTGCATTGGGTACTGCCTTGATGAATTTGGTCATTTCTGTTGATAGGTTTACAAATAACTGCTGCATAAAATGGCAGCCATCTCTGGGTTAATTATAAATTCTTCAGGTTCGTCCCCCTTTACGCTCCGCTCCATATCTACATTCCTGAGCAAATATGCGTATTTTATTCTCCATTTAGTCATTGAAGATATGGTTTTGGTTTTATTTACTCTTTAGGTGTCAACAATCCAACTGTATGCATAAGTCATCCTAAGCTGCTATATCGGAATCATAATCCTAGCAAGCGTGGATTTAATAAATGTCGAGATGGTTTCGGTCTGTTAACTACAAGGGTAAATTATGTGGCTTTCATTTTTAATTGTACAAGTTTCTGATTTAATTGTATTTGAAACTTTTTGCCTTCGATATTATGAGCAGATTCGTGGTGTTAGGAACCAATATCATCTTCAACAGCATTCTGGCATGCAATGTTTTGTATCTGCAAGAGGAAATTATCAAAGCTCAAGCTTCAATCGTGACTCTGATATAGGGCCTTTTTGGTTAAATATGATGAAAGAAGCTATTTGGTATGTTATAGATAAGGAGATATAACAGCAATTTTGAACTTGGATAAGATTCGAAAAATGCCATTCTTTTCCCAAAGCTGTGAAATGTGAATAATAACTTATTGAAGATATGCTTTTATGCAGGACCATTAGAAATTTACTTGTATTTCTCGTTGAACAGCCAAGCCAGCTGCAGTACATAGAATGGCCAAACTTTCAAAGCACGGTTAGTATTTATATTGTATTAACGACAGGGAATCATCAAGGTAATTTGTGTAAATTGGTATAATGGTGGAATCGGTTTTATCAAAATTAAAGAAGTAATGATAACACTAAGTACACGGAAGAACCCTTTTTCCCTACGATAAAATTAGAGTTAATCTACAGAAACGAATTTAGATAATCCTCTGTGTCTTGACTAGATCAATGCTTTATTGCTTCAAGAAAAAGCCCTATTGAAGTTCACTATGAATCTTTAAGTACTTATTTTGAGGTTTATGGACACTATCTAATAGTAAGAGGTATAAAAAGAGCAAGATATATAAATACACACACACATGCTTTTGAACCACCGTTGGTCATATTTCTGTTTATCGAGAAATTGAAGAAGCCATTCAGCGTTTTCTCAGTCTTGTTCATATGGTACCTACCTAAGCCAAGTAATTCTATAACACCACTAAGAAATCAGATTTCTTTATGTTTGTTTTATTTATTGATGGATAAGTTATGGATATACATGACGAAGTCCCGTGATGTATGATTTTGGGGGATGATATTGTGTGGGTTAATGAGACTAAAAGAGGAGTCATTCCTAAATTGGAGTTGTGGAAAGTGCGTCTTGAAACAATGTGATTCAAAATTCGTTGGAATAAGACCAAGTGCATGAATTGGTTTTAGTTGATTTAGTACTTGCATAAATGATAAGATTGGAAGTCATAGAAAAATAAATTTGAGCATTTGTGATACTTAATTCTCATTTTTTTCGACACATTGTTCACAATGGATGTTGTATCAATGCATCTTGTCAATTTAATCCTTCGACGTTGTCCAGGGTTAATTGTTTTGCCTATTTAGACCTAAAAATAGTGGATGTTATTTGAGTGATGTACAATTGATGTTGGAGCTCGACTGTGATCCACTAACAAGCTTAACAGAGAAGTTAGCCGACATGTTTTAAGTCGCTCTTAGTAAACCTTCTCTTATCATTCTGAGCAACTCCTCCCTAGATATTCACGTCTTTACTAATTCAGCACCAACGGTGTATGATCTGTGTTGGTGAATTGATTGTACGTGTGCTCAGTATAAAATTGTTAGGCACATTTATCTGGCTAATGAAGGCAAGTTACAGATTTATAAGTAGATCGTTCAGTTCAAAGTTTGGATAACGAGTTTAAACTTTTATGCCCTTCCAGCAGCAACACTGAGTTCTTCTTTCTGTTTTCTGCAGCTGAAGACTGCCACTCTAACTCTTGTTCTGGTCGCTCTGCTTATCGTTGCACTTTCCTCAGTCGATTCTGCGCTGTCTTATTTGCTTGCCCTTCTTTTGCGGAGAAAGGCATGATCCACCACGAGTTATGGTTCCTTTTATGAATTGACATGCATCTTGTGTAGAAGCTCGGACCCTTGCTTTCCAAGCATGGAGAATCCAAAGCCATACTTATGGCACAACTCTTCTTGCCCAGTAATTATAAGCTAAGTGAAAAGAAATTGCTGGTCAAACATATCGACACAAGTTGTTGGACTCATAACATTTATTCACTTTTTATCTACACATTAGGTAAGATCTGTAGTTTACAATATGCAACAAAAGCTTTACCAAACATGCACTATGTATGGAGTATGGTCCAATGCGACTTATGGCAGGAGCTATGGTTGGAAATTATGTACTTGGTTCAACCTCTCTCTCTCTCTCTCTCTCTCTCTCTCGTATCGTGCTTTTCCGCGTTAATAGATTTCAGCTTCGATAATATTTCAACAGTTTTGCTACTTGGCTAGATTCAAAGTGAGGGTTGGAAATAGGGATTTAAATTTTTGCTGAGTTGGCACTTTTGTTACAGTGTTACAGTAAAAAAAAAAAAGAAAAAAGTCCACCTCTTTTAACTAAACAACAATTTTGCTACTCGACCAGATTCAAAGACAGGATAAATTGTTCCAAGAATGCCTTTGATTTGCAAAAGAGAATTCAATTTCAAAATGATAAAGGCAGACGAAGAGTCTAGCCAATCAAATCAAAATTTCAAAAATGTTAATGCCCATCAATCATCCGTCGAAAGGGCACTCGATTTCGGGTATTTACTATATGAAATTTTTTCCAAATTGCCACGCGATGGTTTGGTAGAGAAGTATGGACGAGTCTATCTATTGTGGATTACAATTCTGAAGAAATTGACCGCTGAGTTGAAATTGGATGCTAGGAGGAGGATTTGTCAACTTCTTCTTCCAAAAGAGACGGTAAAATTGTCACACTGTACTTTGAATATTTTTTAGGGTTTTATACAGTAAAATTGACATATTGTACTTTCAATTATTTCTAGGGTTTTAATTATTCTAACAAGGTCAATTTTTAGGTTATGAAGGTATCCATAGGAATATTTGCATTTTAAAATTAAGAGATGTCCAGTTCTTGGAGAATGTTAGATTTGTCACCGGTAGTGGTTCCTTTGTCCAGAATTCAAAACCTAAATAACAAAAAATAATTATGTTAATAAAATATTATCTATTTCACTACTGTCGGTGACAAATCTAACATCATCTAAGAACTGGACATCTCTTGATTTTAAATTGCAAATATTCCTATGGACACCTTTATAAACCTAAAAATTCACCTTGTTAGAATAATTAAAATCCTAGTAATAATTGAAAGTACGGTATAGCAATTTTACTATGTAAAACCCTATAAATTATTCAAAGTACAATGTAACAATTTGACCGTCTCTTTTAGAAGAAGATGTTGACGAATCCTCTTCTTAGCATCAATTTCAACTCAACAATCAATTTCTTCATAATTGCAGCCCACAGTGGACAGACTCGTCTATACTTCTCTACCAAACCATAACGTTTGGAAAAAAAATTTATATAGTAAATACCCGGGATCGAGTACCCTTTCGACCTATAATTGATGAGCATCGACATTTTTGAAATTTTGATTTGATTGGCGAGGCTCTTCATCTATCGCTGCCATTTTGAATTCACTTTTGGAAATTAGAGAGGCATTCTTGGAACAATTTATCCTGTTTTTGAATTTGGTCAAGTGGCAAAATTGTTGTTTATAGTGCTAGCTCAACAGAAAATTAAACCCTGTTTCCAACCCTTTCTTTGAATCCAGCCGAGTAGCGAAAATGGACGGAAAGGACAACTTGTGCACAAAAATCATATGTTGAAGACATCGATGCCAATAAAAAAGAATATGGACTCAATTCTCACAATTTGTGCCGAAATACCCTTCTCAATTTTTAAACATGTAGATGAGTTTTTTTTTTTTTTTTTTTAAAGCAAAATAGTAATTATTTATTTTGAAATCTTCTGCCATGGTCGAAAGTATGTAATTTATTTCTTTTTATTTGAAATTAATAGAACTTATTCATTTATTCTTAAATTTTTAAAGCTTAACTGAACTTTAATGGCTAAGGCCTAACTTAAGCCTTTCATTTGAGATTAGTTATTATCTAAATAAGTTTTAAATAATTTGTTAAAGTGTATTACTTTGTTAAATAACTACAATAAAATCTTGATATGTAAATGATCTAACACATTAGTAATTGTTCTAATAAATATATTTCACTTAAAATAATTCAATATAGAATTTATAAAAAATAAAAAATAAAACATTTAGATTGATGATTCTTATTAATCAAATAATTTTTTTTGAACTTTGAAGGTGTTGAAATTTGTGTTATAGTTAAATTTAAGACACATTAGGCCCTATTTGTCTTCCATTAAATAGTTATTTATTATTTTTTTAAATAATGTTTGAAATTAATAATGTTATTTAGTATAAGTGATATTATATAATACCATTTTAGATGATGTGATGTGATTAGTTCAATTAGAGGTATGATAAAGTGCGTCATTTAATTGTACATCTCATATAATGCCATATTAGTGCCACATAAACTAGTATTTTAATATCAGTGGTGCTAATTACTCGTGGGGGATAAGCACAAAGTGATATGTGCTCTTGATTCTAGTGAAATGAAAACTATATTTCTAATGAAAAATTTCTGTATATAAAATGAAATTTCAATATAAAGTAATAAAACCTAGGAAGTCGTAGTAAATTTCAGCAAATATCAATTATTTCTACTGGAAATTTGAGCAATATTAGCATTGAAGTAATTCTTGAATTAATAATTCTATGCATTTCATAAAATAATCAAATTTCACTTAACAGAATAAGACTACCATATAACAATTGAAAAGAAAATTATAGTTCAGATGAAAAAGGACTCAAAAGCTTAATGATTTCATAAATTATTCACGTTTCTTCTGCTTTTGGCTTCTTGCCCTTTAATGAAGTCCTGTGCTTCAAAACTAAAAATGCTCCAAGGGCTTGCCTTTGCTGCGTTTCACGCACAGGTTTGCTTTTAGAAATTATATTCTAAATGTGACTTTTTAACTCTTGTAGGACGTATTTCTAATCAAGGTCTTGAAAAATATACCCATGCCATATTCATGCGTTTCCAGACAAAAGAGGACGTTGCCAAGTTCTATGAGAATCCTTTCTATATGGGAGTTCTTAAGGACCATGTGATGCCTTACTGCCATGTATGCCCTGACATGTAAACACCAAATCTCAATTCCTATCTATTCCCTTTCATTTCCCTTCTAAAGTAGCCTATCTTCGTGTTCCCGTCATTATTGAGATTAAATATATTTCATCTACACAGGCAGTAGTCGATGTTGACTATGAATCTGAAGTAGAAGATGACATCCTGCCTATATTTCGGAAAGGAGAGGTCGGAATCAACAATTACACTCATCTCTTCAAAATTGCTGTGATTCCAAGATTATTAGTTTTTGTTCCATCTTATAGTTGATACGTCATGAGAAGTATGGATTTAGCTACTTGCTTGTCCAACTAATTCTTGATCTCACTTTTCACTGACTCCCCATTCGGTAGTAGCTGTTGTGATTTGTTGGTCATGGAATTCTTTTTCTGGCAGGAGTTCAACTATGGGGTTGAGTCCGTGGTTCTTATATCATTTAATAAGAGTTCAATAGGTCGACCTGCGCAAGCTGCTCTGGATGCTCTCGCTAATCTGACTCTGGAGTTCCCTTCCTTAATTGTTCAAGCTACTAAAGGTGTGGTTTCAAAGTTATATACTTTTTTATTAGCTGAGGAGGTAGTTAAATGAGAAAGACCACAGTTCACTGATATTCTCTCATTCAACTGCTTAAGGTCATTTTCTGTAAGAACTAAGAATATCGTGTTCTTGTAGTTCTGATTGTATTTATTCTCAGCATTATTCACACGAAGTCATATCTAAAATGTATTATACTATTTTATTTCTTTCACAGGTCAAAATATTAATAATAGCAGTAAGGAATATACTCATGGGGCAGTAATACGATTTCGATCATGTGAGCTCTCTGTATTCTTCATTATGTACTCAATTACAAGCAGTTATATCTTATGGATTATGGGTTACTAACTATTGGTGCTTACTATCAGTTGAGGCCTACGAGATATTTGTGAACAGTTCAGAATACAAAGATGTAAGGAGCCTAATCTATTGGCTTGTTGAACTTGCACAAAATTCCTTTTCTTTGTCATTTTGGGTGGATTTGGGATCTCATGAGTAACTAGAGTTTGAGTTTTGATACCCATGTTACCTTATATGAGACTATGATTTTTACATGGGAAAGAAGATTTGGATCACTAGCCTTGCTAAATATTCTTGATACTTGAAATAGAAATTAGTTACATGATGTATAATTTACTAGTCTTTTTACCACAATTTCAAAGTTTAGATTGAGATTCTAGGAATATGATTCTGACTGGTTCAATGAATTGGGAAAAGCAGATGTGGAACTCTATATTCCAACCCATCATCCAAAAAGCTTTCTATGTCAATTTTTCTGTAGATCCTGTTGGCAAGGAGCTTATGTAACAAGGTTTGATTCCTTTTACTTTGATTCTACCTATTTCCTTCAAATGAGTTCCGTTCAAATAATTTAAACATGGAATCCCAGGACAAGAAGGCAACATCTGAGTCGCCTTTCACCACATGGTGGCTATGCGTTTATTCAAATCCTTTTAACTTCTTCACTTATTTCGGGAAATTGTACTCGGTGGATTACTTAATGGAGTCTAAGTTGGCTACATCTATGCTGACCTAATGGAGTTAGGAATTGCATCTCCAAGAGTTCTATTATCTCGATTTTTTTCTTCGAGTTAAGCATGATACTAAGGTATGAGTAGAAATATACCTACAACGTGCACATTATTGTGTATCTGTACAAAATTTAAGTACTCCAAGGGATCTTTGTGAAAGCCACATGCTTTGAATCATTTGAACATTTCCTCGTTTCATTCTTCATTTATTACTGGAAAAAAAGAGTGCACTGTATATAACATATATCTCGTCCATTCATTGACTTTGATCTGCATGTATTTAATAGAATGTCTATTGCTCATTTCTTCATGTAAGAATTTGGAGAAGTACTTGATGCAGACCCGCTAACGGATCCTGCTAATCTGCACTTGAAATCTCATGACACCTACGAGTTCAGGACTTTTCAGCCTTAAATGTCTGAGACACTATGATGTTATTTTTAAATTTCTTTTCTTTCTTTTTTGTTAAATGGGTAATTTTGTGTGGATCTGTCAGGATGGGGGGGTTGCCGATTGTAGTACTTAATGGTGTAAAAGTGGGCCGAGCTGCCTAGGCCAAGGGCAACTTGGCCTAGAAAAGCACTGCTGCTGTGCCAGACTTGGTTCTGTTGACCATAGGCCCATGCCAGCTGGCCAGCACAGGTCGAAAGAAAAGTATGATCTCAAATAAAAATATTAAAACAATAACATATTTGGTCTGTAGGCTCGTCTCGGTCTGGCCCTCCTTGGGAGGCCCACAGGCCACTAAGAAATGTGGCTGTCCAGCCTGCCGCAAACCTGGATCAATCTACACATGTAAGCAGGCCATTTAGGGTCTTTATGCAACTGGGTCTGCACGGGATCCATTCAAAAGCCACTGACCCAGGCATGTAAGTAAGGCGTCGTGCCTCTCGTCCACCGGCCTGACTGGTCTGGTTCAATTGACACCACTGCTTGAATGGGTTTGTACCTGCCCCCTGCAATATATTTATTACTCTATTGCCGTATTAGGAAGTTATGCTCATATTACCAAGGTTTGACCTCTACAGGTAAGAAATTATATAAGGTCTATTATAATGTTTATACAATTAATTTCTCAAACATCATAAATGCCAACCATGTGGCCCTCCCAGGGCTCCCAGAATATTATATTAAGTCTTGCCTAAATGTTTGTTTATTAATAATCTGTTTGACTTCTTAAAAATTAGCTTCTGTTCTCTAATCTTCTTATATATTCAAGTCGGTGACTAATTGCAATATGATTGGCTGTTGAATGTACTTAGATGTATTAGTTTTGGCTCATTATTCTCCCTTTTCCACTTATTTTTGGCCCTATTGCCAGGATACTTGTGCAAATCTTGAACTTCCATTACTCTTGACTGGACCAGATTGAGAGTTTGAGACACCGCAGTCAGTCCTTGAGATCCACTAGGTTGGCTAGTTGGGACATGGCCTGAGGTTTTGTTTGGTGAACAGTAGTAATTGCAAGATAGTAACTTATTTTCTTGTCGAACTGTATGACTTGTTTTGTAGAATCAAACACAAGCCCAGTCTTTTAGTCTATCCATATCCACAGTAAGTGAAACTCCATTTAAACGATGAATTGTATCTAGTAGGCATCGTATATCGACATCGTGGCTATTAAAGAAAGAAAATAAATCATAATATTGTGAATTATGTCGAATTTCATCAATATTTAGAATGAATCTCTGTTAAAGGTAAAACAGTTTACTATATCTTGTATAATTCATCTTGTTTGCATCTTTGACTTGTGTATACAACCAAACCAGAAAGAAATTTTATCAACATCTAATATACATTTCTACATGGAAAAGAAAACTGGGGAAGCTGATCTAAAGTGCTCACTATTGATTGCAAAACTTCTTGTGAGATCCAAGACCTGTTATAACAATGAAGAAGCTACTCAATTGTGTAGAGGGTTTGGCCCTCCCGGCGTTTGACGAGCGGAAACTCGGAAACTCATATCGTCCTCTGGAGTTCTTGATTTCTTGGGAGCTTGTACTGATGAATACCATGAAAATTGGGACTGGAACTGTGTTGTAGGTTTCTGTGGGGTGGATAGAATGGCAGCTCTGTGGATGTTGCGGCCAGTCGAGCAGTGGCTGATGGCGAGTAGCACCACCGTGACTAGCAGAAATGGGATGGACGAATAATGAATTTTCATGAGTATAATGTATCAGAAGAAGTAATGGAGAAGCAGAAGAGGAGGATGGTTGAAATGAGTTATTTCTTGAATATAGACAGGTATGAGGAGTATTAATATGGCACCAAACTACTTGTTTGTCAAATGAAATGACAAAATTACCCACAAAATTCTACCTAAAATAGTCAAAACTCTAAAATTAGTGCATCTTTTTATTGCCTGTCTGAAATCTGTTAGCCTCTTCTGTGGATTCATTTTGACTATTGTGCATTTTCCTGCCTAAATATTCACTATGACTTTCATGAATCTTGATTATGTTTATATGCTGAAAAATATAAATTTCATAATCCCGTCTTTGTTTATTACTCACCCGATGTGTTTCTTAACAAATAGTGAAACCCGGGTTACTTCTTAAAATGTCAATCGTAATATACCTTCTTTGAGAGCATCTCCTAATGATGCAATAAATTGAATAAGGATTTGACAAGATTTGTATAATCTTAATGGTTCAAGAAGTGTGTAATAAGTACAAAATTGAATACCATTTTGCTGATGTTAGAGGGTTTGACTTGTAGCAATAGGAATCATTCATTTTTCTCACATTTGAATCTGATAATTAATCTTTGTTGATTTTTAAGACTTGAGGTCTCGTGCCGACAGAACAGGACCAGCAAGTGTTTCAGACAACTATAATAAGGTTTCAATTATTATAATTGTTCATATTGAAGTCATAGGAAATTTATTTATGTATTAAATTTTGTACAAAGTTGTCTTTATTTTAAGTTTGATTGTTCCGACTGATAATTAACACTAAGAAACATTGTTTGTTGACAAAGTTTGGTTTTCCTTCTAACGTGCAATGCATTGAATAGAAAATATAAATGAATATGTATTCCCATGAAATGGTCTTCTTGGGCAATTAATTTTGTAATATTCTAGAGAGAGAAGCAAATTGAGTATAATAATAGGGTTTGATAGAAGAATTTATTTGAGATGAGTTGACCTCGGTCAATTATACGAGATGATTAATTGGCAAATCTACTTTGATTTTCTAGGAACCAATAATGTGGGACTGTAAAACGAATATGACTGCTATGGATGGTCCGATACTGAATAAATGGGTATCCCCTCTAGATGGGAACGAATCTTGTAGGATTTCTAAGAAATTCTTCGATTTCTTCCGGAAGCAGATGATTCACATTCATAGTTGGAGGGGTTGTGACAATTTTAAGTGCAGTAATGTGCGAGAACTTCTCGAATTTGAATGGGATGGATTGTCGATCTATAAGGATTTAAATTCCATTATTTTAAACTAGTCAAAAAGGTTCGATTTTGTAATTCTAACCATATTCCACATCTTTAGGTTAAGGCTTAATTTGCGGTTTTATATCCAATTGATCAGTCTACCAATACAAGTCGATTTTAAGGGTGAATTTTACCTAATATCATTGTTATAATTGGCGATTGGGTCATTAACTAATTGAATCCCACATTGAGATCAAGTCTATTTGGTTCATTGTGTCTAAGTGTTTATAAACACTTTAGTCAAAAATATTTTTGATCAAACTACTATTTATCCATATATTTAGTAGGACATACATGTACTAATCAATTCTATACCACTCATTTGCCCTACTTATAAATATCTTGTCAAACATGTTCTAAGATCAATATCATTTCTTCTTAGAATTCAATTTTGAAGATTCGTTTATGTGTTTATAATCGAACATCCTCTCTCTTCTTAAAATCAATTTTAAGAGTGAACTTATTCAATGGTTATTACACTTTTTTAGCCAAGTTAACATGATTTACTTATTTTATATTTTTTCAACTTGTCAAATAATGTAGGGCATGGTTTATGAATTATGATATCATTTTCATTGGGGCAAAATATGATACAATATTATCTACTTGTCTTATAATTTCTTGTGGACGGACTCTCAATTTCAAGATTGTTGTCATTTCATTTGACCAGACCAAATGGATAAAATAAACAATGAAGTTATACTTAACTAATCTTCAAAAATTAACATAGAAATTAATATCATTATGTCCCACAAATTAAAGCATCTCCACCAATGGTTTAAAACTAGTACAAATTTGTTTACTAAACACCTTGAAATTTGTACAAAAGCCAAGAAAGAAGGAATATTAGCATTAATAAAGAGTGAGAAGTAATGTTCATAGTCAGTGACAATCACATTTATCCTATATGAGAGTCCTAAGTGACGTTCTTAATGAAATTATGTAAATGCATGATTAATCATGACGTCAAGTGATGCAATACAAAAAGAAGATTTTATGGAGAATTGGGATCGATGTCGAAGAAAGGTAATTTTTCGGAGTATCCATTTTTGAAGAATTTTGGATCTATTTTGAGTGAAAACTCACTAGCGAGCAAGACTCAACAACGTTATCCTTGAAGTATGGCTTGTTCGGTCAAATTTCTTTGTTTTCGCTCTGAAAATGCAATTTTTATTTTTGGATATATATTATTTAATAAATCCTAATTTTAATTTCGTTTATTGCCAACTAATTCTAAATATCATTTTTAAAAACTTTTATGTTACTATAAAGAAAACTTTTCAATACCATGCTAAACAAAATAACTAACTTAGGCACAACCAAACATGTGGTTAGTTAATTGACTAAAACTTATAAGATCTTTTGTTTTCTTCAATTATTATTATTGCCATCCTTATTATGGGCATAGGAATTTTATTGTTTTATTAAATTTTGTACCAAGGTATTTTACTGTTTTACTAAATTATATTCAAGAATTTTATTGTTTCATTAAATTTTGTAAAGCAAAATATTCATCTAATTGGTTACTTTGAGTATATGCTCAACGCTAATTTCTTCGAATTACTTGGATAAATTTCATTTTGTTGTACCTTTAGTGGTAGGTTAGGCCATAGTAAGTATGTCCTATTTTTAATTTTCTTTAGTAATGTAGTATTACATTTAAAATTTGGTAAAAACATATTAATTTCTAATAATTTCGGATTCTAAACAATTTTGGGATTTAAAAGAAATAACAATAATCATCTGCAATTAATTCACCTGCTCCAAAAACTTAGAAGTTATTACATTAATGGTGTTCTTGAATCTTGATCCATCAAACAAAACTTTACATCCTTCATATAATTTTTGCTCTTTCTCATAACAAATTCTTCATGGGTTTCTTGTGGGGCGGCGGCGATGGGACGGCTGCGTTGAGTGGGGACGGCAATTAGGGACGGCAGTACGTGACCACGTGGGTTTCGAGTGGGGGTTGGGCTTGCTATTGTTTATTTATTTTTCTTCTTTTTATACTTTTGGCTGTCCAAATTAATCATCCAATGGTCAAACATGGTACGTGTGAACTTTTAAATCGATTATTTTTTTCAACTATCGCGGAGTACTCAAAATCTGACGAAATTATAATTTGAATAAAAGTGAAATACATCAATGTTGAGTGTAAAATAAGATTTAGGCCCCGTTTAGTAGCTATTTTTTTCAAAATACATTTTTCTCTCTCTTCTTTTCAATCACACATTCTTTATTAAAATAATATTACACGTAAATCAAAAAAATTTCCTTATTTCTCAACTACAC